TTTAGGGCCCATTATACTATAATTACACTAAGAACCCCCCCCCCAAACAAAATAAATAAATAATAATAAAAATAAACTAGTATTGGTAATTATTTCGACCCCTACATTCTCCCTAAACCCGAAACCCTTCAAACCCTGAAAGCCGATGTACATCGAAACCCTGGTCCCAGAGCCTCCGATATCCCTTAACTACTTGGCTGACTTCTGAACCCCTCCTAAAAGTTAAACTTTTAGCATCCTTATTATAGTTCATATAGAAACCCAAAAAGTTAAAGTCCTAAGAGCCAACCAGAAGAACACCAAGACTAAGGCGTATACCTTAAATCTTATTCTGGTTCCTACTACTATTTAAAGTATATTCCTTAATTCAGAAACCCTAAACCCTAAACCCTAAACCCTAAACCCCCTTAATTAAGGGGTATTGGAGTCTCAGGGGTCAAGGCCCCGTGAAACCGGCGATCCGAGAATCTGGCCCAGCCCCGTGGCGATGCCAGGATACACCTCGTCAGCTCACGTTATGCTCGAGGCTTCTTGGTGCTCTTCTAGGTTTAGAGGTTTAGGGGTTTAGGGTTTATTTAGGGTTTAGTATTCTTCCGTGTTTTAAAGTTTTTAAGGCAATTAGGATTGTTAGGGCTGCTACTTCTACGGTATCTGGGAAATTGGCGCAGGCTGCTATAGGGTTTAGGGTGCTTAGGTTTGTTGATCTTAGGGCTTCTGGGGTTTATAAAGTCTTGCCGCACGCTTCTTACCGCTCGACAAGTGCAGCCTGTACTTGTGCGTGTAATATAGGGGGCCTTGATCTCTGGCTCCTTAAAACAAACCTGAAGAATAGTATTGGCGTGCAATGACGCTTCTATTGTACGGGTGTTGCCCTAAACCCTATCCCTCCCTCCATCACTCCCTCCCTCGACTTTGTTTCGGACTTCAGCTTCAGCAGATTGCACTGGGTGGCCTTACAGTAGCAGCCCAAAGTTGGAATTCCGATAGCCTCATTCCTGAAGAGCCTTGGGAAGGGAGTGGCAGCACTAATTGTCCTCAATCGAGTTTCCAACTTTCGGGGGTTTAGTCTACCCGATTTCTGCGACCAGAACGCTTCCCCACTGATGAAGAAAACGTACTTCTTTGCCGTAACTGTCGTAACTTCAGCCATCAGGTACATGATGCTGACTCCTAATCTTAAATGGGGAAATAATAGCAACCGTTCTTCGTACAGCTCGAAGCTCTGGGATGAACAAAGTTATTCCCAATGAAACTTTATGGTGAATCCAATAGACCAGGCTTAACATAAAACAAGGTAGTATGTTTTTCAAGCGATACAAGAGGATACATGTCTCATCTTCGCCTGGATGCGTGAAGGGATTCCTAAACTAAGACAAGGGATAATCAAAACAAGGACGTCAGGAAATGTATGGCAAAATAGACCAGACTTAGGAAATCGGGAAGATGTCAAAAACACACTAGCAACAGAAAGACAACTCTGATCTCAAGCTTAGCAGAGTTCGTGTCTGGGGGCTGACAGGGACTTGCAGTATACCTTGGGAGGATGGGTCAAAATGCTAGACCGAGCACCCTAATGCAGCTACAGTATCGGGGCACAGCCCTTGGGGGTTATACCTGGTGCTTGCTCCAAGTGTCTCTTTCCATCAAACCGAAGATGAGCAAAACATACAATCCAAGCACCCTAAACCCAAAACTGTAAACCCTAAAACCCTAAAATGTGGGCGAAGTAAGGATGCCGAACCCGAAGACCTCAGCCTTACTGTCCACATGCTCTACCTGAGCCCCTGTAATTCTTCTGGGCTCTCAGTTTTGAGCCATTGCAGACATGAGCCCTTGAAAGGAACCTCCGCAAGGGTATCAGGAACTACGCGATACCCTTAACACCCAGACCTGACTGGTTTGGGAAAGTATCGCCCGCGACAGCACCCTAGGGTTGATGCTATCAATCCTGCATGACCTTAAGGACCCTAAACCATGGGAATTATGGTATACTCCTTATTATGGGTAATGCAGGATTGATATCATCAACCGTGGTAGTAGAGTAGGTAGTCCCGAAGCCCAAAACCCAAAACCCTAAACCCGTAAACCCGTAAACCCTAAACCAGAAGCCCAAAACCCTAAACCCTAAGACAGGATTGATATCATCAACCGTAGGACCCTTTCGGAGGCAGATTCCTTAATGAATGGGCTGTGGAGTCGCCGGCTCTGGCAGCCTGAAAACCACTGAAAAAACCCTCAATGTTCAAATTTGCCTAAAAAGACCTTAAGGTTTAGGGTTTAGGGTTTAAGGTTTAGGGTTTAAGGTTTAGGGTTTAGGGTTTAAGGTTTAGGGTTTAGGGCTTAGGGTTTAGGGTTTAAGGTTTAGGGTTTAAGGTTGAGGGCTTAGGGTTTAAGGTT